CTCCCAGGAGAAAGAATCCTCCTCCACGCGAGTATCTTCGGGAGGGTGCCGATATTTCCCCAGCTCGTCAAGTAAGTTCTTGTTTCTTCAGCTTCTTTTCAGTTGGTAATATTTTTCTTACAGGGTTCAGGATCTTCGACTCGCAAAACTGGTCGCAAAACTCGAAAGAATTAGATGGTATCGCGACCAATTTCGCGCCCTCGGACTCTGAAGCTTCTCCGATCGCTATTTTCGTCGGACGCGATTTCTTTTTGGACTTCGAATCTCGTGGCTAGTTTGAATATTCGTCTCATTGTGCTGTTTTAATTACTATGTTATCTTGTAGTGGTACTTGGTACCCCGTTTTGATTCCTTGCTGTCTTGCTTGTTGTTGTTATCACTGTGCTGTCTTGTACTGGTACTATTGTTGTATACCAAGTACCTTTGTATCTCTTTTTGTTACCCTTGCTATATCTTGCTATCATTGTGCTTTGATGTATCCTACTGGCACCTTTGTTTGTATTACTAGTGCCTTTCAAATATCATCCGGCTGTGAACTGTTTGTCCTTCTGAGTGTGATTGTCTATGTGAGACATAACTGAGATCTCTAAAATTCATAAGTAAAACCTTCCGGCGGATATTAGAACGCCTTGTTTGGGGTGTGCGTGATTTCCGGCGGAAATTGTGTACTTGTTTATTTTGTCAGTTGTCTTTTGTTGCAATGCTGTTAGATCCCTTTTCGATAAAATGCGTCATTTTACCGACGGCAAAATTTTGTGGCTTTATGTCGTTTTCTCCATGCCACATTATATCTCCCCCTTACTGAAAATGGTTGTCCCCAACCCATAGGTTAGGCCCATCTCAGTATAAAAGGTTCCGCATTTGCCAGGGACTCTATCTTTGCTTCCGTCTGAAATCATACTTCTCGTTTGAATCCGTTTATACTTTCTTGTTTACTATGAGTGGTCCACCCAAGCAGTTGGACACTCTTCGAAACACGCTTCGGAATCGTGCAGTCGACCTGCAGAACCGACTTGAGGACAACCAGGGTCGTTACAACTATCAAAGTTGTGCTGATGCTGAGGCAGTCCTTATAGTCTTAGTAGGTTTCCACTGTTGAGACCCCAAATCGTTTCCGACTGATAATCTGTTTTCTTCAGGCGGACATTACTCATACTCCAGAAGCACCGTCCCTTTTACAGGATACCGAGTTTATGGAGAATGAGTTTTTGCCCCGACGCCGCTCTGCGGAAGCTGTTTTCAATGCGTTGTCTTTGGAAATGCCTCGATCTCATGGCGAAGTTCAATCATTCGTCCGTCGGTATCGAGACATTTCTGAAAACCATCGATCGTATCGTGTGGGTCATTTTCAATTCTCTTCCCAAGGTGTACTGATCTTCTGTGTTACCTTGCCAACCCTCGTCCGGATCCACATGGATACATTCTAGGGGGTGCCCCTCCAGAGACCCTTCCTGCTGGTGAGGGAAGGCTGACTTTGCTTCTAAAATCGGATTCTTTAA